ATGATATAAGAAGAAAAAGCTGTGTAGGTGTCAAATACATGAACATCATCCATCAATGTACCGTTGATGGGGGCGAAGAAACTTGTTCCAAGTTTTATAAAAGCTACTAGCAACAAAAAGTGCAGATGGCTGAACTGAATTAATACACCCCAAACAAGGACAGTTGCAGTAATTACTGTATATGATCTTGTCTCTATAATGGGGAGAGTTACACAGCTCAAAGAAACTGGTCTATAAAGTGACCTGCCTGATGTTGAAATCCGCGGCTGCATGATGAGCTGCCTCATTCACAGAGAATTAGCAGAGTGAGCGACACCTGGCCTTCATCAGCTATGACCTCACAGAAGCCTGGTGCGATTCCATCTGCTTGGATGGTAGGCATCAAAATTATGGAGTGTTGGGAAATAAGCAATCAGCTAATTAGGGTTGTATGTCCAACATGAGTGGATTTCAGCATAGAAAGAACAGAACCAGTGGCTACTTGGCTGAGTTCTCATTCCTTCACAATGAGGGACTGCAAGGAGTAATGCGTGTGGAATTCTGAAGCCAGGAGACCCACCTAACTCGTGCAATGCAGCCTAACTCACTATGGCCTGGCTGTCTATCTCTTTTGGTTGTGGCCAGCAGTTTCAGTGTGGCTGGGCATCTATAACATCCACATTAAGTTATGTTTCAGTCTTCTTATATAACTGTCTGGGAGGGGACAAAAGAGCCTACAAAGACAAACTTATGCGTGACTCTCCAGTACCTGATACAGAGACAATGGATCCCAAGAAGCTGCAGTTTCCCTCAGTAAGTCTCAAGCTAGAAGGGAAGGCTGGAGCCTGGTGCCAGCAGTGGGGAGGGGAGGGATTTATTTCTTGAAAAGAGATTTCACAGAGTTCTTGTAAGACCATTTTGCAGGAGAGACCAGAGCTGAGAAAACGGTGATGGGCAGGGCCACACTTTGCCCAGAACTGCTTAGCTGTGTATCTCTCTTGCCATCTGTTTAAACCTCCCGTCAGGACCCTGAAGATGGACTTATGGGGTATCATTGGACCTCTTTATTTGTTCCTCTCTCTAATATGGCCACTTTGGATAATCTTCCTCTGCTTTCACTACTACTTGTCCCTAAGAAGCATACTGGAGACAGGAGACCAAGCCTAGCTTACCAGGACTGCCAGGGCCCAGGCTTGACCCTAACGACTCCAGGAATGTTCTGGCTTTCTCACAAGCCCATCCCTAAAGAGGGGAATCCTGGACTGTTGTTGAGGCATGGTTGTCACCAGCGCCGTGTCCGTCAGATAACAAGCAGCAGAGAGTAGCTACAGGAGCACATAGAGAAGGCTGCACTTTTGGGGATGGATTTAAAAAGGATTTGTAGATTACTAGGTGGTTAAAGACCCAGGGGGTCATAGGTTGGGAGACAACTACCGCTATTATCTTGAGAAATGGACATATCACACTGCCTTCTAAATAATTACATTTCTACTACGTCTCAGATTTGGTCAGAGAAGTGCCTTTTTCTGGGTGTGTAGCAATGCGGGAGTGGTGGCTATGGATGTTCGCCCTAATTGGACATCTGTAGGAAGCCCTCCCTCCCTCATTAGGCTCAGGGGACATCGAGGGAGACCAGGAAGGAGCCAGTGGACGGGGAGGAGAGCTGTGACATGGCTGCTGCCCTCAGGAGCTCACCGCAGCTATGGTTCCCTGGACAAGTACCGCCCAAAGTCAAGTCATTCAGCACTCAGCAGACAGCACTAACTAGACTCGGTGGGTTACTAAACAAAGCAAAAGGAGAGGACATGAAGGTGCAAGGGTTGTGTGTGGGGGTGTGTGGACCGAAGCTGGGTGGGGGGACTTGGGATTAGTATGTAAACGTATCATATGTATAAGCACAGTAAACTGTCAGGGGCTCCAGAGGAGCAAGCTGGTTAGAGCGAAGGCTGCAGTTCCATCACTCAGCTCAAGAGGGCGTGCTAAGATGATGGTGGAGGGGAATAAAGGAAGAGAGGTACTTCCTGAACCTAAAAATTTCCATCCATGCCAAGTGACATTTACTTTAGGTCTTCTTGGTATCTGCCTCTGTTCTAATACCAAACCGAGAAATGAGTTCAACTCTTTCAATAAAGGCTGGAAAAGCGATCGACGTCGCCCACATATGTGTTGATTGAGTTTACAGAACAAGTCAAACAAAGATGCTTTTCTCATTTTGCCAACTGCAAGAGAAACCTGGTGTGTGATATCGAAGTAACGGGTCTCAGAGTTCAACAAAATAGGAAAGTTATAAGACAACCAGAAAGGATGAAAAAAAAATCTAGACTAACAAACAGGCTCACATAGCTGCATTGCCTCCCCCCATTTTATTTTTTCCTTTTGTGTGTGTGTGTGTATGTGTGTGTGTGTGTGTGTGTGTGAGAGAGAGAGAGAGAGAGAGAGAGAGAGAGAGAGAGAGAGATCTTCATACAGGTACCCACAGAGGACAGAAGTTTTGGGATGCCCTGATGCTAGAGTTAAAGGCTACTATTATGGGTGCTGGCAACCAAACTCAAGTCCTCTCCAAGGGCAACAAGCAATTGTAACCACTAAGCCATCTCTCCAGACCCTTGTCCTGGATTTTAATACTGCCACAAGGTTAAGAATCTGGCTTTGAGAACTGCCTCAATTAATTACTCACACTGGCTCTGTGTACCAACTCAACACAAATGCAAACCAGCATTCCACTGGGAGACCAGCAGTCAAGAACAAGTGTGTTTGTTACACACAGGCATTACTGAGTGTCTTCTGCCTGCGAGGGCCTCTCTAAGGACATTCGATGTAAACCTGGGCATCCCCACTCCACCCTGATGGTGAGTAGAGGTCTTGAAACACAAACAAAAGTCCAAATGCAAGGACGAGCTTAGGCTGTGTCACAGAGATTAAGGAGTGGCTGAAGAGCTAGTGTGATTGATGTTCCTGGGTAGTGACCTTTCGGGAATGGCCATCCCTCCTGCGGCTGTCATGAGGCACATGGAACAATAGAACAGGCCCTAGTGAGAGAGAGTCATTTCTAGAGGCTGATTGTGACAAAGGGTCCACATCCCTTGCTTTGCTCACTGACAAAAGCAACTTCAAGGGAGGAAGGGTTGCTTTCGGCTGAACATCTGGGGACACAGTCCACCACGGTGGAGCATGCACAGCGGCAGATGGTGACATGGCACCAACAGCCAGGAAGCAGACAGACATGAACGATGGTGCCCAGTTTGCTTTCTTCTGTTACCTGAGCCCTCGGGACCACATCTAAGTTAGCTCTTCCCTCCTTAGTCCATCCAACAAACCTCCCCACAGACTAATCCAGAGGCTCCTCTCCTAGGCGACCCTAGAGCCGGTCCAGCTGACCATCAGCGTTAACTACCCCAAGGCTCCCAGCCGTCCCTGGAGAGGAGCTGTATCTTCTGCTTGGTGGCTACTTACAGCCCTCCTCTCTTCCTCTCCCGTCTGACTCTCTCTCTTCTTCTTCCCATTAAACTCTTAAGAGAAAGAATGCCTGGCAGAGTGACAAGAAAATGAGCTCTCAGCCTCTGCTGACAAGACAGTGACTACCAGAGGTCGGATGTGCTCACCCAACTGAATCGGCTAGAAAGGAAGAAAGAGACCAATCTTATGTTTTAGGCTACTGAAGCCTGCACACACTTCAGGAAAAGAGTAAGTACAGGCCTATGAGACCAAGGTCTCTATACAGACCAGTGTGGCGGCTTGCCCCTTGGAATCTTGTCCCCAGATGCTACTTTCCTCTTAGGGATTTATCCTTCCTCCACTGGGAGTGCCCTTAGGGTAGCAGTTTGAAAGGGAAGAAACCTATCTCGAGCCACTCATTCCTTTTAGTTCACTACTTCCCCCCAGGAGCTAGAGAAGAGGCTGGGAAACCCAAGTAGATTCTGACATCTTTCATGTCCTCAACCCTCCCCAGCGTACAAACCAGAAACGAGCCCTGCTTGTCAATCATGGCCCACGTCTGAACTCCGGCTTCTTCCATCCCAGGAAGGGGATTTGCAAAGGTAACTTTTCAAAATGAACCTGAAGAGTCTTCCCCTTGGGGCAGAAGAGGTGCTTCTGACTGAGCTCTCACTGGGGCAAAGGTTACTCACAGCTTCACTCTCCTTGCAGGAGGAAAGAAAAAGGCTGCAAAGCCAGGAATCAGAAACAGGTTCAAACAAATGCAGAAAAACCACTGTCACAGAACTCACAAGGAACAGCCCGGCTAGACTGTGCTTCTAGTTTCTAGAAGGCATCTTAGCGTCATTAGCGCTGGGACTCCCCTGATGTCTGGGGGTTGTTGAAAAGGTCTGTAGCGTGCCCCGGTGGTAGGCCCACACGCCAGCATCTGCGTAGCCTTGGGAGCAAAGGCCAGTGCTGAGGGACAGGAGGGCTGTAACTTTGATAGAATGAAGAAGGTAAGTATATTAACTACTTTTCTTTGTAACAAAATACCTTGCAAAAACAACTTATTGGAGGAAGAGTTTATCTGGGCTCTGGGTTTGAGGGTCTGCTTTCTCAGTCTGGGTCCACTACTTGGGGAATCTGAAGATGCCCGATGATTGTGCCCAAAGGCCAGGCTGGTGAGACGGCTTGGGGTAGTGTTGCTGGCCACCGAGCCTAATGACTGAGTCCCATCCTTAGGACGCACATGGGGAAGGAGAGAACCCCGTAAGTTGTCCTTTGTCCCCAACTTGTGTGCCATGGCACAGACAAACTAAATAAATTAAAAAAAAAAGGACAAAGGAGAACAAAATAAACAGCGATGCCGATTGTTTGAAATCCTTACATTCTGTGTATTTTACTGAAATAGGAAAGCTGAAGCAAACAAAGCCAACAGCTAATCCAGGCTGTTCTTCCTTTAAGAGAACAAAGATGTTCATGAGGGGGTTGGGAGGATACTAAAGGCAATCACAGGTCCTTCTTATCTTTCTCAGCTTTCCCAACTCCAGGCCCAGTGACAAAAGAGCCCCAGTGCAGAGCTGCATGTCTTCGGAAAGACTCACCTCACTGAGGTAAATAAAAAAGGAGCAGGAGGTCCCATCCACTCCATAGTCTGCGTAGCAGGGATCCGAGCGCCACATGTCTTTCATCCACTGAAAAGAGAGAAGAGGACATGGCTGAGGAGGCCGTGGAGAAGAGGGTGAGGGCATGAGGGAGTGAGGGCATGAGGGGTGAGGGCATGGTGGGCTGGGCGGCTCAAGCAGTGGCCCACAGGTAGAGCAAAGCCAAAAGTCCCTCCACTGAGGGCCAGATGACCAGATGCTCAGCTCCTAGAGAATCGGAGCAGATGCTTAGCCAGGCAGGGGAGCTCTGTGTACACACAGCGAGGAGGCAAAGGGCGGGAGCGTGTTAGTGGGACCACAGGGCCCCTTCCACGGCACCCTCCGGAGGTGCCATCACCACAGCAAAGGGCCTGCAAGGCAGAGTGCAGGCCAAGGACCACAGAAGTGTCGATGGACACTGATAGCTGTCCCCAAAGGACACCAGGGAATGTTCCCAGAATCTTTTCACCATTTTGAATGAGTACTTGAATGACAACCTTTCTCTGAACACCACTGGCCAGGAATGATCTCCTGGAGCAGGTCAAACAAATATGGTTTATTTTTCCCAAAAAATAATATAAGGCAAAACAAAAAAAGTTCAGGAGTCCAGGTGTGCACTGGTAACAGCAGCTCGGGGAACAGCCAGGTCAGCCTACTACGTGGACTCCCTGCCAGTAAGAGACCCTGTCTCAAGGGACAGGTGGATGGTGACTGAGGAATGACACGCAGAGCTGTCCACTAGCCTCCTACATACATGAACATACATGTTAACCTGTTGACCTCTAGCCTCCTACATACATGAACATACATGTTAACCTGTTGACCTCTAGCCTCCATATGTACATGTATATACATGTTGACCTGTTGACCTCTAGCCTCCATACATACATGTACATACATGTTGACCTGTACAACTCAGACACACAAGGCCAGGCTGTTGCTCAGTAGGAAGTGCTTCCCAGCATTCGGGAGATCTTGGGCTTGACCTCAGAGTAAAGAATGGCCAAGAGTCTAGGGGCACTCATTTGCATATGCAAATATCACATTTACACCGCAATCTGGAGAGGGAACAGGCCTCTGGGGATCAGGGAGAGGGAAGGAGTCTAAGGTCGCCTGGAAGTGAAGGGCTGGACAAGACAGAGTGGACACCTGAAGTGGTTCAGGTTCTCAGTGTGACCCCAGAGAGCCTCTGCTGACCCACTCCGTGGGAGGGGCAGAGCAGAGAAGGGTCAACCCCCTGCAGTATGGAAACACCTGGAAAGGACCTGCTGCAAGGCTCACTTGTCCACTTTATCGTTAGAAAGGAAGAAAGGTGGAGACTGATGGGATGATAGGCATAGCCCCTGCCTTACCTTGATTTTCCCCTCGCAGTGGGGATAGCCATCCATAGGAGGCAATACACATTTTTCTTGAACTCCATTAATGATATCTGTAAAGAATAAGAAAGGAAGGAACCATGAGATCCACACTACAGATGACCAACATCACAGTCTGCATAGGCTGAGAGAGAAACTGAAATAGAGAGGTCTACATGGAGCAAGGTTCTGATCCAGGGTGCCTGTCCAGCCCCAGACATCACTGCAGCCATAGCAGGATACTGCTGCTCGCATACAGGGGCGGCCATCAAGAAGGCTCTGTGGGTTCTTAATAGTCTTGAAAAAGAAAGATATGTCAGCATCTACAAGATTCGTTTTCTCTTTTTCCCCTTAGCCCCAGTATGTGACTGCATTCAGGTACATGAGGGCATATGTGTGCATGTATGTGAGTCCAGCCAATAATCTCAGGTGGCATTCCTCAGGAATATAACGTTATGCAGTTTTTGTTTTATTGTTTTGATATATGGTCGCTCACTGACTTGGTACTCACCATGTACGCTAGGCTAACTGGCCAGCAAGTCCTGGGGTTCTTCTTCTTCTTCTTCTTCTTTTTTTTTTTTTTTTTTGAGACAGGATTTCACTTGTAGCCCTGGCTGTCCTGGAACTCATTCTGTAGAACCACCTGGCCTTGAACTCACAGAGATCTGCCTGCCTCTGCCTCCTGAGTGCTGGGATTAAAGGCATGAGCCACCACTGCCTGGCTGCAAAGGTTCTTTTGAAGAACCCAGTGACCTTGACATTTTACTTAGAACTGAATGGCATCCTATAGGTTAAAAGTACCTGGTTACCTTCCCATCACTGTTTGGAAGGGGTGGTAGGAAGAACAGACAAAAATGAGCCTATAAAACTCCCCCAAACATAGGAACCATGGCCATCTGTACTCCCACTGGCAACTAAGCCAAATCTCCCTGTCAAGCTCAGTTGCAGACACTAAGGATAAGCATCTTCAGGAGGGAAGGCAACACTCTGCCCCGGCGCCTCACACATACTTCCTCTCTCCAGCAAATGCTTTGTGTGTACAACCTGGTAGTGTTTCTCCTTGTATACCTGATAGGGACACATGGCCACCTTATCAGATGGCCCCTGCAGAGTGTGCTCACGTAAGCTCCACCTCTGTTCCAGAGCTTGGCATCAGCCAGAAGCCAGGAATCTCTACATTTGGCCTGGAGAGGTAGCCCTTGCCAACACCCTCATCTCCAGCTTGGCTATACGAACCAGCAGTAATGGCTCAGAGGGAATCGGTCACAGCGGAAAACTATCTCCGATTAGCAATGACCTCACGCTACTCATCCTCTGCTTGGCCAGTCTTTATCTAGGCTTTCTTCACACCATGAGACGAGGGGATTTCTACAACTAGGTCCTAGACAGATTTTAGTTACTCTTCCTGCAGCTGTGACAAAACACCATGACCAAAGGCATGGAGAGAAAAGGGTTCATTTGGCTCACAGCCCATCAATCAAGGGAAGCCAAGGCAGGGACTCAAGCAGGGCAGGAATCTGGAGGGACAGAACCACAAACCAGCACCGCTTACTGGCTTGCCCCACATGATTTTCTCTGCTTTCTTCCTTATACAGTCCAGGACCACCTTCCCAGGGGTGGCAGTGCCCACATCCATTGTTAGTTAAGACACTATGCCACAGGCTTTCCAAATAGCCAATTTTATGGAGGCTTCTCTCAGTTCCCTATTCCCAGACATGCTGAGGTTTGTGTGAAGTTGAAAAGCACTAATCAGGACACCACACATTCTAGGCGGACACATGATTAAGGTCACAGGAAGCTCCTACGCCCCAGCGGACTGGAGAAGTCAAGGCTCCACAAGCTCTACTGGCAGCCTCACAGGGAACACGGGTTGAGTATCCCTCGTTTGAAATGCTTGTGACCCTCTGCTCCAGGGTATGCATAGACTACACATATGCATAGACTTGGCATTAGGTTGTATGTTCCTAACAGAATATTCAAAATCTATAACCAGAGTTTTTATTCAGAAATAATTTTATTTTGATTACTTCTTTAAGCTCTCATCCATGCACACATTGCATGGTGAGTACACCCCCCTCATGCTCCATCACCCCATTTTTCTTCCCTACTTCTCCTATTCCCCCTTTTGCCACAGACGGTTTTATTTCTTTCATATCTCATATGTATACACCTACCTACATGACTTTCTGGATCTACACGAGATGTAGAGCCACCAAGGAGAGAGAGCATGGCATATGTGTGAAACCAGCTTAATTTCCCTAATATGATTCTCTCCAGTTACTTTTTTCTTCTTTTCTTGGCGAACAACACGCCATCAACCTCCATGGCACTTGAAAGCTTGCTTTGTATTTCACTGTTTTTATGGGGTTTAGCTTAAAGAGTTGGGAACGGCATTTTCCAGGAAACTTCTCAAAGGCATAATTGCTGACCCTCCACTTTTCCCTGATTCATAAACCTGGAGCCTGGAGAGATGAAAAAGATGCCCGGTGCGACGAGGAAACAAGATTCAAACTCATTAAGCTGTTTCTCTGTGTCAGGCATCATGAATCTACACGGTTAGGGCTGTTCCCTTTGGGGAGTGTGCGTGTGTGTGTCTGAGTGTGAGACATGCCAAGCATGAAGTGTGGAGGTCAGAGGACAACCTCAGGTATCAGTACTCATCGTCCATCTTGTTTAAGACAGGATCTCTTATTTGCTGCTGCATATTGCCAGACTAGCTGGTCCCTGAGCGTCTGTGGATCTCCTGCCTGCACTCCGAATCTTGCTGGAGGAACACAGGTATTACAGACTGCGCCCAGTTGAGCATGGGTTCTGGGGAGTGAATTCAGGCCCTCATGACCATGTGGTGAGTGTTTTGCTCACCGAGCCATCTCTCCAGCCCAGATTTTCCGTTCAGGTCAAGATCATTTCCAGCCGACTGTGTCTAGGTATTCATGGGCACACCACTGTAATCACCTCGTTCTCGTTCTGGACGGGAAATGTGAGAGCAAGTGTGGAGGAGTAAACTGACGGAGCATTATTCTGCTTGGAAAGGCCCCTTCACTGGGCGCCAGACTTGTTAAGTTAGAGCCTGATGCTGTAGTACTACCTGTGGGGAAACACCGCGGAAACAAACAGAAAATTACATGAAAACACACTGCCAAACAGAGGGCTGGAGAGTCGGCTCAGCATGTAAAGCAATTGCTACACAGGAGAGAGGACCCGAGTTCGGATCCCTAGCAGCCATGTAAATGTCAGGCAGGTGTGATGGCCTGCCTAATGCCAGTGATGTGAAGGTGGCGACGGGATTCCAGAGCACCCTGGCTAGCTAGAGTGGCCAAATTGGTTATGTCCAACCGCTCGAGGGAGAGGTTCTACCTCACACTGCAAGACGGGGAGCAAGCAACAAAGACATGTGGTATCAGCCTCTTCCTTCCACAGGCATGCTCACATGTACATCCACACACATGTCTATGCTGACATACATATGAACACACATATATACATGTACACACAGGACATATACCTATATAAGCAAACAAAATTTCCAAAAACAATTTAATTAAAACCATCACAAGGTATTTCTACTTCTTTTCATCATAAACTCTGTTCTTTGGTTCTTGCAGGACTATGGCCTCAATTATGCTTCTAAGTTTTAGCAAGCCGTGAAATCAAGGGACACTGCAGAAGAGGGACAGGCCAGAGACATGGAAGACAGCGTGATGTGTCTTCTAAATCAGAGTGCTTTACTAGAACAAGCCCAGCCCTGGTTAGAGCGAAGGCAGTCAGCCGCCCCTCTAGGTCTGGAAGGGTTGAGAGGGAAGATAACTAAAGAAAGTCTAAGATACAGGGGAAGAACTATGATTGGACAGCTGAGCAGGCACTGTTAGCTAAAGGATCATGAACTCCAGGCTCGGAAACCAATGCATTGATTATCATTGCAGGCAATGGGAAAGGTACATGGACTTGTGAAGTTTGGAGACTGCACCAACCTTCACTGAATAGAAAACCAAAAGTGAAACCTGACCATTTCATTTGGGATGTCAAAGATAAAAACACACTAAGGATAAGAACATGCTGTGCTCTTAAAGAAAACCGCCATGTAAGATCTTCACAACTGAATAGGATTTTATATCTAACATAAATTGTCCAGGATCCAAAATTCATTTTATACTGGTAACTCAGCTGGTAGAGTGCTTGCCTACCATGCACTAGGTCCCTTCCCTGGCACCACATAAAGAGGTGTGCTTACAGACTGTAGTCCCAGGGAGAGGCAGGCAAAAGGACCAGAAGTTCAGAGTTATCCCTGGCTATCCAGTGAGTTCCTTCCAGCATAAACCCAAGTCACTCCCCTAATGATCCTAATGAGATCCTAATGACATACTTCTGCCAACAAGCCTCCCAACCCCCACAACTTTCCCAAACAGCGCCACCAGCTGGTGAATCGCATGCTTAACTACTGAAATACATATGAGAGACAATTCCCATGGCCTATGCAACAAACCCTTGGGAGCCTCTTTCTTCACTCAAGAATTGTTGCAAAACTTTCTAAGAACTTAGTCACCCTTCCTTGGCTAGGTACTGAGACCTGCAATCACCCAAGATCTCATTCAACCTCAGAGCGACCGTGACAGTAGTTCCTGGGATGCTTGACATCAAACACAGCACACAGACCTCACCGCATCCTTTACTCTATTGCGGCATTATATTCGTCCTGCAGAATGGGTCTTCTCTGTGCCTGCCTTGCCACCCCTAGATAGTTTTATGTCCCAGTGCCTGTGGGTGGAAGCTAAGGTACACTGAGATTACAATACTTTAGATTTGTGCAACCGGAGAAGCTTGGGTGCTTGCCAATGAATAGAATGGGGTCACAGCACACCACGGTGTGTATAAATTCTCAGAGCTCCGGGGCTGGGAGAGAAAACGGAATTTGCAACACGATGTGGATAATCAGGCTCCTTCTGCATAAATCGGCCTCACTTTCTGTAAGGACATACCTAGTTTCTTATACCATTTTTCCTGCAACAGAATGTTCCTTCAGTATTTTAAGTAACAGCGGAAAGAACATGAAATATCTCACATGGGTATTCAGTTA